TGGTGAAAAGTGTCTTTAATGGTTAGTTGAATTGGTTAATTTTACATAGTTCTGACTTGCTGTCCTGCTACCATTTTAAACTACGAAATTCAGAATGAAAACTTTCTACAGGTTTTTACAGGTTTCTTTCAACAGGTTTTTTTGATATCTACAGCTGTAGATATTAAAATATATGCTATTCAGTTCAATTACTGGTTTAACAGAAGTTCAAAACCCAACTTAATGATTGCATTTTATACTACCATAAGTCATCACTACGACAATATCAACATTAAAGGAAAAACAAAATAGATCAGAATCAGCATCCACAAGACACAGACTTTTTTTAACCCCCAGAGTGGTAATGTTTTTCTGAGAGGTCCACAAAAGTAAAATGTATTTGACAAGACTCTTGATTACATAGAAATATATGCGGCTCACATGTCATGTGCTAACATGTGTTTTAGCACCATGGGCGAGATGTTGTCCTCCCTGGCAATTCTTCAGTACATATTTAAAAACATAAGGATGTAGACATTGACAATGTGGTTCAGTTCATTTGCTTGCCAAACACTTTGTACACTAGTCTCTACTATTAAAACTTTCAATCAGTTATCCCCAAGGTTGACTTATAATTTATATAGCACAGTTACTAAATACTCAAATGTTATTTTTCAAATGCTTTGATTTGCGAAACTGCCTCCTGGAATTTAATGTGGTTATATTGGCATTTCTAAGTCCCTAAAAATAAATATTTCCTGATGTTGCACAAGTTATCTATTCACATCTCATTGGTTCCTATACAATGGAATTGAGCAGTGTGCGGGATTGGAATATGCAAAATGTGCTTTTGCAACTGATCATGATGACAAAATTTTGAAAAGCAGTATTTCATGCAAGAGTTATGCATTGAGCTTGCTTTTGATTGTTTTGTAAACATTACTGCAATGGAATCAACTGGGTTAGCATTATACCTCGGATATGCACTAAACCGTAAAACCATCCTTTAATACGCCAGTGAATATACATTCCACAGTACATGTATGTAACAACTTAGATGTCAATATGCAATACGTAGCTTAATGCTGGTATTAACAATAGAAACATGGCCTGATTGCCACAGGTCAGGAAATGGTCAGGGAAAAATAAATTCTTCAAGGTCAGGGAAAAGTTAGGGAATATTTTATTTTGAGTCAAGGAAAATTGATTAGAAATAATTTATCATGGCTGACTTAAACCGTATTTGAACATTAGAACTAACAATAAACATCTGCAGTTTCTGTGATCTAAACGATGTTTTTCCTCGGTGAAGAAGCGAAAAATTGTTGAAAACTTAATGCGTAGAAAGGATGGCTCTAAGGGAAGGCTAGAAACCACTACTGCAGACACTGTTTTTGAAATTTTGTATTGTTTGGTCAGGGAAATTCTGTTTTTTTATCAGGGAAAAAGTCACAGACAGGGAATTTTGGCAACCATAGTCATACTAGTACAGTGTACCTGTAGTTATGCAGTTGAATTGAGGGATTATTAGAGCTATCTTAGATTGCTATCTAACATTAATTTATTAAATAAATATATTCTTTGTTTCAGATTGCCATAGTTATTTTGAGTCTCAAAATCTTTTGCAAGTCCCAGTTGACTTGAAATCCAAAGGATATAAGACAACTTCCATTGGTTCAGGAGATTATAAAGAATGCAAATTACATGGGCAATACTTCGACTACAATGGCTTTCAGTCAAGATGGAAAAATATAACTGATGGTAATATATTCAGCCTTAAAAAAGACAACAAGAAATTTTCTATAGAGGTGAGTGTACATGTATGTCAGACATTTTAATTACTTTTAGAAACATATGATGGAGATTTGCTTTCTAAGGCCCTGTCCACACGTATCCAGATATTTTAACAAATTGAATCGGCAACTTTT